GGGTTTTTTTTGTCTTTAATCCATAATCATCAAAATTGAAACAAATAAAGGCTTGAAATATTTCACTTTGTGTGTAGTGAACTAATATAACATACAAGTTTCACTTTTTGAAACAAATTATTGAAATAAATGGACTTTTCCTTGATATTCTAATTTTTGGCACATACCTGTAAGCCCCCAGTGTTCTGCAGCAGCGGACAGCACATTGTCCAGGTTTTCAGCTGTATGTCACTCAGATCTTGCTTTAGTTTGAAGAACAGCACTCTGTAATCTCCATTTGCTTATATAATGGCAGGTGACTGTCACATACGATCCAGTTGTAAGTGCTGCCCATGCATCAGAGAGACCTTTAAAACACTTGTCAAACAACTGCTAAGCTCACATGGTATTTAAATGCCAAAATTGAAAACCGGTTACCTACCCAACAAATGAATATCAGAATATTTGGATATTCAGGTCCAGGCTAAATTCATGCACAGTTCTAAGGTCTGAAGAGACTGTATGAAATCATACAGGAGAGAAGCCAGTCAGCTGAGTTTGTGGCAAAACCTTTTCCACTGCTTGAACGTTGTTCCATCTTTTACTGCATATGATAATTAATTCATAGTCAGAAAGTAGAAATGACATTCATTACAAAATGATTAAATAAAACATTTCAAAATGCACCTGCATTGTTTTGTATTTTGTGACTTTCAGTCAAATAAAAGACTATTTTTCCAGTCATATATTTCAGTTTTCTTAATAAATAAAACATTGTCTCGTGAACCCAATATTGTGTATCGGAGCCATGGTTAAAGATGCTCATTGACAGCCGAACTGTCTCCTGGGTTGAATTATTCATGTTAATAAATAGTGAATGCAGCGGTATCGGAAGACTCCCAGGCACCGCCAAAGGGCGTGAGTGTGTTTCCACAGAGGTAGGAGATTACAATTTGCTTAATTGGATCCATGTTTCTCTCAATTGCAACATTTTTGTGTGTGTTTTAGTCCCTACCATGTTAGATGTGAGGAACAAATGCGAGGCAAAAGTAACAACCTTTTTTAGAGACACGTCCTTTTCTTTGCTTCGTTATCTTAAGTGACCAGTCACCAACAGATTTCACATTACAGGCGTTAATGCTCAATCTCCCCCCCCCCCTTGTTACTTCCACTTTTGTTTTTTTTTTTTCACATAACACTTCACTCACTGAGGAAATAGTCCAACAGCTCCACCTGCAGCCGTAAAGATCAAAGATCAAAGATTTTTTATTGTCAAGTCACTATATGTGCAGGACATTCAGAAAAATCAAAATACTGTTTCTCTCTCACCTAATGTTGAATGCCCATACCATTTAAGAAACTAAAATAGAATAAAAGTAGAATAAACACAGAATAAATAGAATATCCTTGGAAGGCTGAAGTAATTAGGATAAGCTAAATGGTACAACCTAATAGGCTATGAAGAAACTCAAAGCCACATGCAAACAGTGACAGTAGTGCAAATAATAAGATTGCCAGGTGGTCAGTGTATTATCAGGTGATATCCTGTGGGGTAGGAACCTTGGTGGAGATGTTAAGTGCTGGAGTGAGCGGGGGGGGAGATAATAAAGTGAACACCGGAGAACAGCACTGAGCACATGGTCGTCTGTATTATTGAACCCAGCTACGTCGATATATATATATCAAAACTGAACAGTCAGCATCACCAGGGATGTTGGTGATGAGATGCATAATAGCTTATGAAATAGCTTGTCGCTATTGTTCCTCCTCCATGTTTATTTTTATTGGTCTGTGAGGGGCTGACACTGAATGATGTCAACAAGCCATATGAAGAGGAATGAGAAGTAAATAAATAAATAAATAAATATATTTCTGATCTTACTGTTCTGACAAGAGTAGCATAAATAGGATATTTGATATAAATCTAACCTAGGACTAAAAGTGGCCCAGATCTGACCTGAAAAGACATCTCAGGACACTTTACAAAATAAGGTCTAGATCTTACTATTATTATAATAGAGGGCAACCCAACAAATCCCCCTTGAGCAGCACTTGATGACAGCGGGAAAACTCACTTTAACCAAACAAACCTCTGACAGACCCTGGCTCTTGGTGAGAGAAAAGAAAAGAAAAGCAACAAGACACAACAAACAATCAAACACTGGTCAGGTTGATGTGGCCGGTGACTGCTCATCAGAAACAGAGAGCTCCAGGGCCAGGGCAACCTGCAGAAAGGTACAGGGAGAGAGACAGAGAGGACACACTACGGGAGAGAGGAGACACACAGTGACATGTAATGGTGGCATATAAAAATAAAATGGAGAGCAGTCACCAGTTTATTTAATCCTGGGTCTGAACCCCCCAAAATGTTTGAATTGTTTTCATATGAAGCTTAACAAGACTAAAATTGTAATCAAAAATAATTGCTGACTTGTTCATAGATTTGATGTTTTGTTTTCTGCTTATTTCCATTGATTTAGTTGAATAGATTTTGTTGTCAACAGACTGACTAATGAAAAGATTCAGTTGGTTTACATGCAGTTTTTCTGTCATATACAGTATATAGGACAAAAGTGAAAGTATTTTAAAAAGACAGTGTGAATAGATGGGTTAATGTTAAAACATTCTAGTGGAGATCAGAGATCATTTTCTTGAACTTTAGGTTGTACTGCAACTAAGTTCTATGTTCAGTTCTAACTAATAACTGGAGCCAAAAACAACCGATGTAAGCACACAACAGTTATGTAGTGATATTCTTCTTCTCAAGGTCAAAGTATTTATTTGTCATATGCACAGTTAGGAAACGTGTTTCCCTGTACAATGAAATTCTTACTTTGCCATCCACATGAATGCCACATAATACAAATTAACTATAAAGTAGATGAGCAGTAACACAAATCTAAGGCACTTTAAAGCAGCAAGTGAAAGAAGCACAATAAAAATACAAGAACACAGTATAATGTAGAGAGAATATATGCTTCTGTGGATTTTACTGCCGGTTGGCAACCAGCTAGTGATATTCAAGGAAAACATTTGTTTTAATCAATTACTGAAGCAACTCAAAGTTCAGTAAAAAACAGTGTCAGGTAAAAATATTGATGTTTGCACATTTTTAAAGTCAGTGTAATCTATTATGTCAACTCTTTGTGGCAGCCCTGCTTCAGTGTGGAACAACGGGCAGTTCACACATGCAGCCCCTTGTCTATATCCCTGCAGTAAGATATTTTGCATTGTTAGGTACCTGTCAATTATTAACTCAGCCTGAACTGTTTAATGCCCTGTATGCAGTTCAAAGATTATTTGATAAATGACAGAGAGGCTAATACAAGAATGATGTGGAAGGTATGTTGGAGTTTTATTACATGTGGTGCTGGACCTGATTATTTGACTGATTTGATGTTTGTTCTTTGGGTAGGCATTCATTCTTGAAATTTGGTATTCAGAGCCCCCCCCCCCCCAAAAATTGTGGATTCAGTTCCAGGTGAAACCATTTTTTGGCATATTGTTCTAACATTTATACCCATGGAAATTTATACCATCTCAGCTTGGAGGTTTGATATCCCTCTCATTCATAGCCAAAGGCTGGATATTAGGGATGTAATGATAGTTGTAATTTCACGATATCACAATAGAAAAACTTTTCAATATTGGATGTGGCTGTGACAGTATCTACCACAATATTACATAAGGTTATTTTGCTAGTATTAAACATTCAGGCTGCAGAAATGTGAACAATCCATTTGTAAAGGAATCATTGGGGGATTGCTGCAGAGGCAGTTGTCTTGAGGTTCTTGCGTCTTTGTCTCAAACAGATGACTTCTCATGACCATTTTAAATTTGTTCTAATCAAGGTGTTAAGTATTTTGTCCACATCACTTTATCATACATCACCTTCTTTATTAATTTTGTCTGATGATTCTGGTGCCAGCTTTTAATGACAGAAGTTACTGAATCTTGTTGTGTCTCCACAGTATTTCTGCTATGTACACTTTGCCTCTGCAATATTATTCCTGCCACTGCTTCAGAATTTTACGAAATATCATAATGCCACAACTACACAACTCTGCATAGGGCTTTTAGTGTGAAACGACAGATACAGGAAGTAGAGATGTACCAACACCTGGCTGAGGAGAGAAGGAGAGAGAAAGGAGAAAATGAAGGAAGAGAGAGCACAGTAGATTGAAGTATAGTAACTAATGTTAAGTCAGATTTAAAAGTCAGGGTAAAGAAAAATCTGTGATTTGTTTTAAACACAGTATACATATCAGAAAGTAGTTATTGAAAATGTGAAAAGAGAACTGTGTAGTGCTGAATTGCATATTTCACAAAGTAAAAACATTCTAGTGGTAACACTGCTCCAGTTAGACATTTCTGTTGGCATCTTCATTGTAAATGAATGTTTTTCTTCACCGTCATATTTGTATTCTTCCAGTTTTGCACCTGTCACATGATTGAACATGATCAACATACCCACTAACTCGCTGTGAATACTCTGGCTTCTAAGATGTATAAGTGGCCGTATTCTCACTCCGGTTCACTCGGACATTACGTGGACTTTGTACTAGGAAGCTGGCAGGGTAAAGTCCACTTAATATCCAGGGAAACTGGCTCAAACATTTGCATTCTCACATACAGCTCTTCTGGGTAATCATGTCTTGATAATTTCAGGGTTCCAGTGAATGTCTGAAAAGGGCTTTAATTTTCTGCCTTGGTGTGTACTGTAGGTGATTTCTTTTTTCTGCTGCTTTTGACTTCCCACAGAATAGTGGAAGGGTAAAATACATTTCACATAGTACCAATCAGGAGGTTGGCTTAGCTACACTGAAATGCTTCTTCATAACCAATTAGCTTGTTCTTGTCTTCTCTGTTTTTGTGTGTGACTTTTACATTGACATTTTTGGAATGGAAACAGCACTGTTGATCTCAGCATCTTTACTGATTTTAACTTGCGTCTTCTTTTTCCAATAGCCAAATATCCAGAAATCAAGTCGTTGATGGGTCCTGACCCCAGGCTGAAATGGATTGTGTGCATGATGGTGGCAATACAGTTTTTAGCTTTCTACCTAGTCAAAGACTTGGATTGGAAATGGGTTTTGTTTTGGACTTATGCCTTTGGCAGCTGTCTCAACCACTCAATGACCCTTGCTATTCATGAGATCTCCCACAACGCTGCCTTTGGAAACAGCAAAGCCATGTGGAATCGATATTTTGCCATGTTTGCCAACCTGCCCATTGGTCTGCCCTACTCTGCCTCCTTCAAACGCTATCACCTGGACCATCACCGCTATCTGGGTGGAGATGGTGTGGATGTGGACATCCCCACTGATTTTGAAGGCTGGTTCTTCTGCACACGGTTCCGCAAATTTATCTGGATTATTCTGCAGCCGCTGTTCTATGCCATCCGGCCCCTCTGCATCAACCCCAAACCCATCACTCATCTGGAGCTGACCAACGTGGCCTTCCAGCTCACCTTTGACATCCTGCTCTACTGGCTGTGGGGAGCCAAGCCTGTGGTCTACATGATGGCTGGCTCTTTGCTGGGGATGGGCTTGCACCCAATCTCTGGTCACTTCATAGCTGAGCACTACATGTTCCTCAAGGGCCATGAGACCTACTCTTACTACGGCTCCCTCAATCTGCTCACCTTCAACGTGGGCTACCACAATGAGCACCATGACTTCCCCAGCATCCCAGGACGCAGACTGCCCATGGTTAGTACCGATCAGTGACTGTGGAGATCACACACTTTTCAGTCATATGCACTGCATTTCCATTATGTACAGCCATGTTACTATGTTTCTGTGAAACTATTTAACTGGAAATGGGGGTCATACTAGAGCCTGTCATTTGTTTTTAACCACTACACTAATCCCAGTCTACATTGGTCGAGAGGCAGGGTCCACCCTGGACAGGTCTCCAGTCCATCACAGGGCTGACACTTGGAGACAGACAACCACACACACCCACACTCACTCCTACAGGCAGTTTAGAGTCACCAGTCAACCTAAGCTGCATGTCTTTGGACTGTGGGAGGAAGCCGGAGTACCTGGAGAAAATCCAGGCAGGCACAGGGAGAACATGCAGACACCGTACAGAAAGGCACCGGTTTGATCAGAGCTCGAACCCAGTACCTCCTTGCTGTGAGGCGACTGCACTGTGCAGCTTCATTTCCAGCCATTTAATGTTGAATCTTGGGTACCGCTAGATTATCTTTGCACCCATCATAACCCCAAATAGTCTTATTATTTCAAATGATAAAACCAGAGAGCCTCTTCCTAAGACGAGGATAGTTCATGAACGCGCACGCCTCCAGCGGACGTCTCAAAAGTGGACAGCAGGACAAACCGCAACAGCATTAATTAATATGAATTCCTCTTCCATAGATAGGTAAACAATGGTAACCAATGAAAAGAGATGTGCAACACTAAAAAAAAGTTGGTAGTTGAGAAACCCCATATTTTAACTGGCATAATGCAGACATAGTAACTTCTCCAGCCTTACAACTATTCTCTACAGAAACAATGCATTAACAGAAACACAACGTATGCAGGTTTTTTTTTTACTTATCGGTGAGTTCTACCGAGTAGTGGAAACTTTATTCCCTTTCAAGTAGCTCCAAGGTCAGTAAATCCATCCAGTGATCACTGCATCTTCCTCCTCAAATCCCTCACGTTACAGGTAAACAGGTAGTGTTGCACTGACAAGAACATCATGGATCATTAGCAAGGGGTTGTGAAACTTGTATTAACAGAGTTGCTTCGGCACGGAAGTACAACATAGGTACAGCTCTTTTTTGAGCTTTCAGTCATGTTTAAGATGATAATTCATTGTTACATTGTAGTTAAGTCAGAAAACACAGAAAAGCATGCAATCAGCACCTTGATTAATATTGAGGTAACGACAGTTTAATGAGTATCTTGTGAGAATAGTTGTAAAAAATGTGCCATTTGTTATTTCCAGAAAAAGAGATTTTTTTATACAAAGTTATATAATAATTATAATAACGTTGTCCCCAGCCTGTGCTGTTTAAATGCAAAATGAAATTGAATGTTAACAGATGCTAACTTTGTATGCTAACATGGTAGACTTTCAAATCAAATCAAATTTTATTTGTGTAGCGCCAAATCACAACAAAAGTCATCTCAGGACACTTTACAAAGTAAGGTCTAGACCTTACTGTTATCAATATTATTACATAGGGAAAACCCAACAAATCCCCACTGAGCAAGCACTTGGCGACAGTGGGGAGGAAAAACTCCCTTTAGCGGAAGAAACCTCCGACAGACCCTGGCTCTTGGTGGGCGGCCTTCTGCCTCGACCGGTTGGGGTGAGTGGATAGAGGAGAGACAAAAGAAGAAAAGTAACAAGACACAACAAACACTCAAACACTGATCAGGTCGATGTAGCTGGTGACTGCTCGTCAGAGACATAGAGCTCCAGAGCCAGGGCAACCTGCAGAAAGGTACAGGGAGAGAGAGAGGACACACTACAGCATAACTAAGGGAAGGCTCAGGGTCACCTGATCCAGCCCTAACTATAAGCTTTATCAAAAAGGAACGTCTTAAGTCTAATCTTAAAGGTAGAGAGGGTGTCCGCCTCCCGAACTGAGACTGGGAGTTAGTTTCATAGGAGAGGAGCTTGATAGCTAAAGGCTCTGCCTCCCATTCTGCTTCTGTGGACTCTAGGAACCACAAGTAAACTTGCACTCTGAGAGCGAAGTGCTCTGTTCGGATGATAAGGCTCTACGAGGTCTTTAAGATATGATGGAGCCTTGTCATTAAGGGCTTTGTATGTTAGGAGAAGGATTTTAAATTCTATTCTGAATTTTACAGGGAGCCAGTGGAGAGAAGCTAATATGGGAGAGATATGATCTCTCTTGCTAGTTCCTGTCAGTACTCTGGCTGCAGCATTTTGGATTAACTGGAGGCTTTTTAGGGAATTATTGGGACATCCTGATAGTAAAGAGTTACAGTAGTCCAGCCTGGAAGTTTGTATTTTAACATGCTAAAGGTACCCAAGTTAACATGCTACATTATTCATACTAAATGCTGGCATGGTAAGTGCTAAATGTCTATATGCTTGTATTCTTATTTAGGACTGGATTTAAATAAGATTACAGTCAGAAAAATAAAGCCCCACCCACACCCATGGATAAAAAGCTTTTAGAATAGTTTTTTTCCTGCTGCCTCACCATCCCAAATACACACACGCGCATATTTTTCTGGCACCTATCTAACATAATAAAAGCAGAAAAAGAAACATTCTGCAGCAGTAAAGATAACAGACTATGTAAACTACTGTGACTAATGAGAGCTGTAAAAGCCTCATCCAGATATGGGCATGTGGCACGAGGCATGTCAGTTGGCTGTTAAAAAGTGTGTACCTCAGATCCTGTATTGTGTTCACTACAAAGCATTTACAGGCAGGTCTACACTGTAAAATGGAAAAGGCTCTTTGAAATTTACGCTGACATCTAAAGGCAGCATTGAGCAGTGTTTTTTCTTGGTTTCCAGGTGAAGAAGATAGCAGCAGAGTTTTATGATGACTTGCCACAGTACACATCATGGATCAAGGTCCTGTACGATTTCATCATGGATGATACACTGAGCCCATACTCGCGGATCAAGAGGAAGTTAAAGGGAGAGTTCAAACTGGAGTAAGAGTACTGAAAGCTTCTTTGGAACAAAGCCGCAGCCCAGCTCTCGCTCTCTTAAATTTAACAGCTTCTACAGGTTAATACATTAAACATTTGGGTTGTGATTGTGTACAAGTCTTGAAATGTGCTTTTCCTCCAGGAAGAGAATAGTTTGACATATTTGTTATCTAGGTCAGAAAGAACAAGGCAAGTAAACTGTGAGGTTGGAGGTTGTTCGTGTGATGATGGGATGTACCTGGAACTGGCTGTACAAAGACATGACAAAGATTAAACAGATCAACTTAATATAGACATCTAAATTGCCATGAATGAAGTAAGACTATTAGCTAGATTGCCCTGAAATCTCCCACAGGATGAATTCTAATCACTTATATAATTTTCTGACTACAAAATCTCAGTTTGTCCAGCACTTCACACTAACCCCCAGATGTCCACTGAAGGCAGCTGCACTATCCTCAGGCACTTTCACATCTGTCAGAGAGGACTCTGCTGCCATCTGTTGTGTTAATGTGCATTGGACATGGGACTGTGATCAGTACTGAGTAGAAGACTTCTGAATATTCAGGTATGAGCACACTGCTTTAAGACACTGCTTCTGAAACACTGCCAGTGGCCTTTCCAACCATCCTGGAACCGGAAGGTGATGCAGCCATAACCAGTGGACATTAGGGCTTGTGACACATTCATTAGCCTCACCTATACTTGGCATACTGGCACAATAAGTAGGATAGTGGCCAGACTAAACATTACACCGGCTGAACATTGAAAGCATGTTGTTAACATATAACTCAGTCCCAGTTCACAGCCTCACAGAGCTGCTAGCATAACTATAGATCAGTCTAAGATGTGTTTGTCCAGCCAACACCAGAAACCATCTTCAACATGTCTCTACAGTGTGTCAGAGGTGTTGTGCTCTGCAGTTTGTCAAACAAATGAACTGTATACAACCGAATGCACTTGGACACCTGCTTCCACTTTGGACTCCACGGCTGGAGGTCGACATGAAAGCAGCTTTGCTAGTGTACATGGACATCGACTAAAAGACCGTCATCATTATGATCCCTCCATATGAATTGATTTAATTGCAGCATATTACATTGTCTTTTTGATGTGACATGTAAGAGTTCCTATTTTCTGGCCTTTTTCAACCCTTCTACTTTTAACCATGTAATGCATTTAAGCACCATGACCTTGTACAACCTCCTGTCAAGCTTCCATGCAGCCTGAGTTTAGTTCCCAGAAGGGTCAGTCTGAGGTCATTTTGTATGAGATCTAAGTACGCTACTTATCAGTGCCTCAGGCCTTAAACCAATGTTTATTCGCTTTTATGAGAGACTATATGCTAAGAATTCAGAAATACTTGATGTAATCACATTGCTGTTTTAGGCTGATTACACAATCAGTATATTTAATAAGAAGTCTAAAGCCAATAAAATACATGGAAGAACTTGCTGTTTCCCCAGTCTAAATGTTTTCCTGGTTAGTGTTAAAGGCTTTGATCAGTATTCAGACAAAAAAATCTTCAGTACCTGGTGGCCTCGGTGAATAAAACACTGCTGAATGTTTGATTTATTTTTTTCCCCCCAGAGCTTCACATGTTTGCTTCGAGGCTGGACCTCCTTTTCCCACACAGTGACACCTATGTTTTGTGTATCTATCCTGGATCTGCAGTTGTATTCAACCATGTCTGGCATCGATAGAACAGGAATCAGCTCAATGCCTTGTTCTGGACAGTGTCCTGTATCAAGCTCCTTTTCTCAGTAATGTTTAATTTAACACATTGAATATCTTGTAAAGCATCGTCCAAGGGAGATGATATGCACCAACTTTATACATAAACAGTTATTTAATTTATCAAGCACCACCTTTTCAAAACTGTGGAGGTGTGTTCCAAAGTAACAGAGTGAATATTACTGGCCCGTTACTAAAGAATGAAATCGGGTGACACCAGCCCCCACTGGTCTTACCATTGTAGAGATGGTCTTCTTCAAATCTATTCCATGTGAACAGGACAGTCCAGCTTTTAAAAAGTGTTTTATTGGAAAATATGGGTGTATTCTGACAGAGAAAAAGCTGTTGCAGGAGAAACTGCATTTGCTTTTTATATTTTAGTACCCTCTTTGGAGCCTGTCTTTACAGCCTCGCTGACACTAAGAACATTCTAAATAAGTCTGTTTCCAACGACACTGGGCCAGTCGTCCAGTTCTGTTAACTAATCGAAATCAAATAATTCATCTAAAATATTCTAAGCTCCTTTTTCAAGTGCATCCTTAGACCACTGTGCATGATAAACAAAATAAAAGGGCTTTTCAATTCATTTTCAAGTGTTGATCCATAAACAGCAGCGGTTGCACTTCATGCTTTGTCATAACTGTGTTTCTGATGCTCTTATTTGTTTGAGGTGTTTCAGTCAGCCCTGCATGTCTCCTGTTCAGGGCAGCTGCACTATGTTAAGTCACATGGGGACAGGTTGCAAATGTCTGGATGACGGCTGTCTGGTCAGATGAGTCCCATGTCAGCAGCACCACAGACTGATGTTGACGTTATAGCAGGCCAGTGGGATCAAGTGTAGATGTAACAACACGTTCCCTGATGGTTTGTCCATCCACAGCTACACCTGCATGCAACGCAGCATTCATTTTTTTAAGTTTTAAGCCGGGCAGTTCATTGTTGGCCTTGGAAACAGTTGGTTAACCAGACAATCTAAAGTATACACACAAGTTCCAACAGCGCAACGTTCATCTGATGATGAAGGCTGATGTGGTCGAAAGCAAGCAAGTAAATGGACCTTGAGTATTTGAGTGTGTGCTGTTCTCTACGAACAGTATCTGACCCGGAGGATAATTCTGACACCTTCTGTCCTAAGACTGTAATTGCAGCTTCTGTGTCTCTTAGTGACGACATCATTAACGTGAGCCACATTCTGCATACAGCGTATCTATTTAGACAGGATGATCGTTTCTCCTCGATTTAAGTTGTTTTGAAGGCACCTTCGGTATGTAAAAGCTATTGGAAAAACGTTTAAGTTAAGTAAAGGCAATGTTTAAGTTGAAAGCATACTCATTTATCATTACATTCTAGGATTATCAACGGGAGAAGTTAAGACACACTGTTAAGCAGTTATACGTTATTGTAGACGCTGTTTGTACACGCTAAGAGCCTTTGTATGCACATGTAAACGTGTCAGTAGATGCTGTGCATTTATTATGTTATTTGTGTTTCTATAGTTTTACGTCATTCCACGGCCAGCAGTAAAGTGTAAAAGTCCATTGGTTGTCTGTGGTCTGTGGGAGACGTTATCTGTCTGTCGAGTCAAACAAGGTCTTTTGACATAGAGGACAGAACAGTGTTTCATCACTTGTTAGTGGCACTAGAAGTGTTTGATGAATTTATGATCTAACATTTTATCCATCTGATTCACAGTGTATGGAGTAGCAATGCACATTCCAGTATAACACTGTTACAAGTCACAACCTGAAAAAATAGAGTTGAATCAACTACTAAGAAAGGTAAGATTAATACAAGAGTGCTGAACTTCATCTACAGGCATTCACTTTTTTGGTCACTCAGTGTACATCAGTACTGGTACTGTAAATGTCTGTGATCAGACTAATACTACAATGATGGGGACTTTAGCTCAGAAGCGATTAAACATACAGGTCATATTAGGTGAAACTGCTTTGTGTACTTAGACTCACTATGGGCCAACTGCAAGTCATACAAACATAAAGGCCGAGTTTACAATGCAAATTGTGACCAAATACAGTCACCACTCTGAACGGCGGGTCTGTCCTTTCACTCTGTAGCATAGGACAGACCTTTGTCTGTATTCACTTTGTGTACCAAGGCCCAGGTACTGGTGCCTGGCTTACACATACATGAAACACAGCCAGCCTTAATGTTATGGACTTTTTCTACAGTGAGAATGTGTGGTGTTAAAGGCTTGCAGGTTCCAGACACTGGGCTGCTTAAATATCAAATTTATTGAAATATCAAATAACACCAAGTTCAAAACAGATAAAATATAAGTGCATCTGTATCGTTTGACAGAGGGATAGTTTTCAATTTTGCAGCCCTTGTCTCATCCAGCCCTTTGAAGGAAGCCATTTGTGCTTTGCTGTCCACTGATGCAGGTTTTACCATGCGATTTTCGTGCTGACGGT